AGGCATGGCACAGCATCGGGCGGCTGGTTACACTCTCCTTTTGGTAAGTCCAAAATTTTGCATTTTACCAAGATTACTAAGACCGTTCGAACAGTCGTTTCCGATATTTGATGCCATTGTTCTTGCCAGCATGCTTTACCAAGCTGTTCGACTTTGAGCAGCATATTTTCATTTATACCTACGGCCAGATTGATGTATGTGCACCGCCTTTGCGAAAGCCCAGTACCGTTTATTTTCTTGCGGATACTAAAACCACTGCGCAGTAACTGCTGATTGCCAGTGTGGCTAGCATTGTGTTGTGTCTGCGGATTTTACGTGTTGGAGTGTTGACTTGGCGCAGAGTCCCCTTGTTTAATGGCTACGTAGAGACATCCAGTTATTCATCGTTACCTCTGTCACAGTTAGCATTCGCTGTTCTGCTTTCGTCATTAGCAACTTTGCGCGTCTACACGTCATTGCATTCTGCACAGTAATATCGGAGGGTACGGTTCTTTCGGGTTTGGCATTTCGAGGATGTTAAAGATGCCGTGAATTTTATCGGCAACCTTTTCTGTAGCGGTTTTTATGCGTTTTGTGCTGTGTAACAGCGTTACAAAACGCATATTGTTACGGGGTTGTCTGTGCGTGTGTGTGTTTATGTGTGCGTGTGTCCCACATTTTGTCCCGCACTTTTAACTCGGGAACCACAGAAGCTAGGCGGCTGAAATTTTACTATAGTATTTCTCGCCAATGGGTGACGTGGCAAATTTAAATTCAGCCTTCCCGTACTCGCGGGTAACATGTACGGCCCCATGAGAATTTTTGACAGGTAAATTTTTATCTCGGCTAACCACGAAGTCTAGGAAGTTGAAATTTTGGGGTTGTGACCCCCTGCCCACGAACGATCTTGCAAATTCAAATTCAGCATTCCCGCGCTCTTGAGTATCATCTGCGGGCCAGTGAAAATTTTTGCGGAACCACAAAGTCTACAAAGCTGATATTTTGGGATTATCACCCTTCGCCCACGTGCGACCTTGCAAATTCAGATTCAGCGTTCCAGTACTCTCGGAATCACCTACAGGCCAGTGGAAATTTTTTGCGGGTAAATTATTATCTCGAGAACCACAAAGTCTGCGAGCTGAAATTTTAGGGTAATGACTCCTTGCCCACGTGCGATCTTCCAAATTCGAATTTAGCGCTCCAGTACTCTCGGGTGTCACTTACGGTCCCGTGAAAATTTTTTGCGAGCAAGTTATTATCTCGGTAACCACAGATTCTAAAAAGCTGAAATTTTAGGGTAAAACCCCTTCTCCCATGCACTACCTTACATATTCAAATTCAGAGTCCCCGCGCTCTCGGGTACCACTTACGACCTCGTGAAAATTTTGGCGGGTAAACTATTATCTCGGGAATCACAGAAGGATATTCACTCTTCAAGGTTTCAGATTCAGCTTTCTTGCCCCAATGTATAAAATTTTCAATTATTTTTCAACTTTTCAACTATTTTTGCACAGACCAAAGTAAAAAGCAGTGAAAATCATTAATAGGCAACCGTTCGGTGAGCGGAATTGCGCAAAACGCATGATCGCACCGGTTATCCTGGTACGCTTCGCTATTTATTCATGGCTGCAGAGATCCTCGAGTTCTGTTATTGGGACTGAATGCACCTCGGATTTTTTAATGCACTGAATAGACTTTCATCTTAAAATTTGTAAGCAGTCGATATCTGCCATCACAGTTTATTCATATCCCTGGTTTGTCACTTCATCTCCTTATCGATTCCTCATTTGCTATTACTTTACTAGTCGTATGCAGTACTTTCAGTGGGCAGGATAATATGTATACTTATCGGCAAAATTCTGTGTTAGCTTGCGCTATTAAAAGAGGCATTACAGAAATATTTCGAGGAAGCGTCAGTCATCTTCAGTATATGGTTCCGGAAGAATGTAGAACAGCAGTGCGTTTGATGCAAGCCAAGCATACTGCTATTCTACATTCATCCGACACCATATGTTACTGTGAAACACTTTGTTCATCTCTACTAACGTTGCTGACCTATCATCTTTGTTGTTCCCATTTGCCAGTGTCCTGTTTGCCAACAAGCCCCTCTTCATCCTCCCGTCCTCGCACCTTTGCTTACTTTAATTCCTTTTAACGACGGTACATGTAGACTTTTACAGGATAGTGTGGAATCGAGCCCAACTTTGGACTGCGTAGTCTCATCGTCGTCGCTAGTCAAGATCCACAAATTGGATGTTTTTGCTAGTTTTAATGGACTTTAGCTTTTTTTAAGAGAACGCCAGTTTGTGATAAACGAAAGTGGTGAGAAGCTTGTTCCGGTGAAACCTGAGCCCGTGTAGGGTGTTGGGGTGTCTTTTTATGCGTTTTTTACATCTAATGCAAAAACGCAGATTGTCGATGGGTTGTCTATGTGTTTGTGTGTATGTATGCATGTGTGTATGAGTGTGTGTGTGTGTGTGTGTGTGTCTGTACCGGTTTTTCATCTCGAGACCTAGAAAAGCTACAGGACTGAAACTGAGGGAATTTAATCTACATGCGGGCCCCGATCCCCAAAATGGATGCTCTTACCCACGTGGTCCATATAAGCTGCTAACCCGGTAACCAGAAAAGCTAAAGCGCTGAAATTTTATGGGGGTGTTCCTCATCCATGTAGTTCTTAATAAGATCAAACCCGGCCCTCGGGTGTGCGTGATACGGTCTCGTGAATTTTTTTGCGGATAAGTTACTAATTCAGAGACCAAGAAGTTAGGGTGCTAAATTTTAAGGGAATTTTTCCTGACAGTCCTGGTGAACAGTCTCATTTCTTTTAGCTAGAAGCATCTATCGGAAAAAACAGTACCGTTAGCGACAAAGACCTGCAAGGAACTATGCAAAAAACACATCTTCGCACGGGCAGTCAGTGCGCTGGCCATTTATTATTCCTCTTTATTCATTCGTTTATCACACTGCGTTGCACAAAGTACAAAGGGACTAGACAACATCTCGTGCTTTTGCATGCACAGTTGCTTAACCTTTCGTGTCTTACCAGCGGCTAATCAGACTGATTCATGCCGTCCGGGCTTAGCTGGACAAAATGCGGCACAGTAATTTCTTGACGTGCAAGAACTTCTAAGGGTTGTGTTCCGCCGTGCCTTTATACTGCCTACCCCGACATTACCCGCACACTCCGACGGGATAGTTACGGACCTCTCAATATCAAAAATAGTGAATAGAACTGCTGGCAGTTTTTTCAATAGTTACCACTTCTCACCATTAACGGCAGCTTCATTCTCTATTTGGGTCTCTCCCAACTACATAATCCCATGTAGTCGTGGTGAAAAAAAAAGATCACACACGCAGTATATAAAAATTTAGGCGCTTGAAAATTCACCTCTTGGGCTTATTCTTTTGCTTGTTTTCCTTTGGAAATTTTGGTTTTATTCGATTCATTTAGAGTGGAACAGAGATTCATCTCTCCGTCAGCTGCCGTGGTGCGTCGTTGCTGAATCACGCATTTGCACAGTTGCCGAGCTGCTCGAACTTCTCACGCAGCAGTTACGCATAAGCGATATCGAATCAGCACGTCTGTGGACTATTGAAATTGACGGCTTACCGTTCAGGCGCTTGCTGGACAATGATTCACTTACTCTTAATGATCTCAGAATTAAGCATAGTGCTCAGGTCCGGCATTTTTCAGAGTCATTAACACACCTATTTAATGTTGGAATTTGTTTTTTCTTTTTCAGGATAATATTCGATTTCTCTATACGTT